ATGTTTGTAATAAATAAAGCCATAAGGAAAATGCTTATATTCAGTAAAAAACGAGTGTGGCCATATATAACATAAGAGCATTTCCTCTAAAAATTGCACAATTAGGGAGTTTTGATCAATTCCGACAAAATCAGAATTAAAAACCCAAAAATTTTTCGCGCGCTTCGCGCGCATTTCTTAGGGTTAAAGCTTGTGCTTGCCCTCCTTTGCCTTCTAAGTTATTTAAAAACATAATAGTCCAAAAACTTGAGAAAGAGAATTTAAGATAGATCGTTTTACCTAAAAGAAGGGCCTCAATGTGTAATGATGGTGAAAGAATAGGCCTATGAATTGTAATAAATAAAACCACGATGAAAATGCTTATATTTAGTTTCAAACACGCGCATGTGCCCTATATTAATATTAAAATAAGCCATGTCGTATTGTTTACTATATGGGGGGGGGGGGTATCACACCAAGTCATAAATTATTAACCGGGAAAATTATTACCTTTGCCCCCCCCCCCGACCCAAGACCCCTGTTACGCGGCTGCTTATAAGTGGGGCCCCCCCACTTTGAAAAACGTTCCGCCGGCCCTGGGTAATAGTCTGCCCGACTTAGGTTTGTTCTTTTTATCAGTGTTCTTGTATAGTATTATTTCCTGGACGAGTAGTCCCCAAAAATGTCACACACCCTTCCAGAAGCTATCTGACAAAGGTCCGAACATATCGTACTCAAGAGACACAAAAGTTCACAACTCAAATAATTACCAAAAATGTTTACTGATATATTTCTGAGAAAGTGCACCCACCAGCCTAGCAAATGATTCATCATCATTAACATGTTTTCAATCTCATTAACAAAGCCATAGCAGTTAACAAATAATAATGGTTAGGCATCAATGCTGTAACTTTATCAGTTGGCCCTTCCAAAACTTTAACGAAATATTATGTTACCAAAATGCAATAATAATTTGTTCACGATTTCAACATTTTCCTTATGGCCTTTTAGCTCTATCACATTAGATTTAATCATATATATATAATATAATATATATATATATATATATATAATAATGAAAAAAAAATATACAGTATATAGTATATATATCAAGGACGTAACATAACCTGCACATTCAAAGTTGGAGGGAGCCGACTGGGACCTCCCTCGAACCTGCCACTTCCCAGTGGTGAAACTAGGTTCCGATGGGCCCTTTTTCGAGAGTGCAGTCATCACACATGTTAAGAATGCTATATCTAGAAAAATAATGACCAAATCACAATTAGTTTTTAAAATAATATGAAACAAAGTGTATTGCAAAAATTATTTAAAAATAAATTGTTCAAAATTTCTTATCGATTCCATAATTATATGAAATGAGATGTTTATTCCTCAATGAATGAATAGGCCTAAATAAAGTGCAAGTTAACACGAATACATTATATAATGCAATATGAATAACAATGACTGTCTATTATATTTATACAAGTTGACTGATGTTGTGAACTACCTAAAAATTTGTTTTTCCATTGCAACATTCTTGGTTAAGAAGGATAAAATTACATTAAAAATCACACGACTAATCAACTTGGCAATGACGAGAAATACGTTAAGATATTAACAATTTAAAATTGTAAAGTAGTAAAAAGTAAAAATAAAAATCACTGTTTAAAATATACTATGTGTATCTCAGAAACAGACCAGCCATTTTAGTAAAGATTAAATAAAAACCCAAAATTTTGCTATAAAATAATGACAGCATGCTAATTAAATAAAACATGTGTTATGTATATATAGGATACAGTATGCATTTTCCTCCATGAATAAATGAAAATGCAAGAAAACAGGAACAAAATTATATTGCCTTATATAATGCAATATTAATAACAATGAATGTGCGCCTATTATATTTATAAAAGTTGACGGATATTGTGATATACATAGCCTATAAAAAGATGTAGCCTAAATAAATAAACATGTGTTATGAATACAAACTTATTAAATGTCTTTTGAATTAAGCTAGGTGAATACGTTAGATTTTCAAATAACAGACTGTAGTATATTTTTTAGTATTATTATTTAGTAAAGTTTTGGTTTATTAATGGCTGGAGGACCATGTATGTAGGTATTCCCATCATATGGACAGATCTACCAGGTGATAAGTGCTCAATAGAGCAATAAGAATCAGGGGCATCAACTTTGGGTGGAGGGTCAATATTAGAATAAGCTACTGTACGTTTCTACAGGGGTTCTACTCAGGCCCTGCAAACAGTCCCGGTCAGGGTGGTAGGACAAACGCCAGGAAAAATCAGCAATTTTGAGGTAGATCAGGTAGATATATATATATATATATATTAGATATATATCTAAATCTATACCTATATCTATTCTATATTTATATTTTATTTATATATTCTATATATTTAGTATAATGTGTTATTTAGCGGTTTTTTTATTCTGTATTTAATGTGTTGGACTACAATGGAAATACGTAACAGAATTTTAAACAAATGAAATAAGCAATTAGCCTATATATAATACAATATACAATTAGCCTATATATAATACAATATACAATTAGCCTATATATAATATACAATAAACAATTAGCCTATATATAATACAATTAGCCTATATATTTTGTTCTGAATCAGAATGTCATAATCAATTAAGAAATTGTTCTTGATTTTTTTAAATATTATACAGAATTCCATGGTCAAATATGTTTTCAGTAGACCTATTGTTTTAAAGCACTTAATTTACATCATCCGTTTGTATTTGTATTCCAGTTGAAATGAAACCCTGTGTTCCTCCTCCTATTAGAACAAATACGGAGAAGAGATGAGAAAAAGTTAAATATTGATAGAACAAAAGATGAGGGGCAGGTGAAAGAAATCAATAAACATGTGAAACAAGAAAAAAGCAATAGCACTGATTCCCAGAAATAGCACTCTAAAACTGCCGAAAAAAAAAGATAAAAAACTTTTTTAAAGCAGTGTTCCATGTCAACTCGTCATGTTCTGCAGGGCCACCAAGATGGGGGTGCAAGGGGGAAAGATCTCTGGGCCCAAGATCGCCGGGTCCAAGATCTTCGGGGCCAAAGCTTACCAGGGGCCCCCATACAAGCTTCAGGCAGTATTTTTTCTCCAATTTTTTTTTTTAATATTAATTACTATCGTGAGCCCTCAATAATGTCATGGGTCCTCTAATAATGGGCCTCTCCAGATTGACTGGGCCCCCTCAAAACATTGCTGTGCTCTTTCACCGCAATCTATCCTGCGCTTCGCACATGTAACTGGGGCCCACACCAACCCTTGCCCCTGTTACACTTTCCCCTCTTGGCGGCTCTGATGTTCTGTACCGCTTACCCAGGGCGGATCCAGGACTTTTCTTTAGAGCTCAAAATATATGTTTTTAATCTAAAGCAATAATCTTTGCATTTTTGGTACATGGTATCTGGTTTTTATCAAAATAGTTAATAATTTAATGTATCATTGATTATTCCGAGTTTTGGATGGAGGGGTAATAAATCGTGTAAAGCTGTATTATTTTATCCTACAAAAATTTTCAAGGAATAGGGCACAATTACATGAAAATTACTACATGTATGCAAAAATTATAACCAGCAGGGGTTTGGAAATTCGCTTGTTCACAATATTTCAACAAATTTTATAACATCAGTGTCGCAGACGTGCAGACGAACATCCAGATCATTTCAAAGGTTCCTACTACTTTACAGCATAGGAACCAAAAAAAAAAAAAGAAACGGAGAAATTAATCAAAGTGTATTAGTACTACCTCGAAATTTCAACCATAATTATTTTAAAAAAAATTTCATGAGAAAATGTATCTTTTATTTAGCAATTATCCACAGACATAATTACACGGTTCACGTTTTTGTAGAAACACTTATTAACAAAATAATAAGCCTGGAATTAAGTGTATTATAATGCATTATTATAGAGTATAGTCTATTTTAATAATATAATGTATTCTAATCAAAGAAAACCACCTAAAAATAATAATAGAATCAGAGGCAATATGAGAATCAGAAAGACATGACGAAATTAAGGACTGAGGATAGGTAACTGAACTGAACAGATTAAAAAAAAAAGAACAGGACTGAATAAAACAGTTTTTTTTCCAAAGGCGTAGACTATTTTATTCGCACATGAAAACTGATTAAATTCAGATACAAGAAATCATATATTTCATAATATCTTTATGTCTTTAATGGTAGTGCTTTAATTGCAACTTGTTTGATGAAGTTGTATCGTTTTAAGTACTTCACTAACTATGTTAATGTAGGATTGATATACTTTATTATTTTTATTTATTTATTTTGAATACTCAGTGTTAAAATATTGGTCAAAAATTTTGAAAAATGTTCGAAGCAAAAAAATCACTTTAAGTACTTAAAAACCTGAAATCACCTAATATTGCAAGCTAGCGCATGGTTACCAAATCATCAAACACCCACTTCACCTTCACGGGCCACGTCCTCCCAATTATCACCTCATTTCAAGACTCTTAGAGAGGAGCAGATCCAGAATTTTTCGAACGGGAAGGGGGAGAGGTGAGAGGGGAGGGAGACACTAGTTCCAGAATCGGTATGTGTAGTAAAACACAATGTTGATTTGCATTAAAAATTTTTTAATTTAATGGCAAAGCAGGTCCTTAATGAATCCACCCCTACTAGATAGGCCTACACCACTGGTATGGCCCTCAGATATTAGTAGATAATAAATATTCTATCTAATATGGTCTAGGAAAGAAATGATTAAAAGCAGTGCTTTTAAAAATCTACCTGAAATCACCTAATATTGCAAGCTAGCGCCTGGTTAGCTAATCATCAAGCACCCACTTCACCTTCGCGGGCCACGCCCTCCCAATTATCACCTCATTTCAAGACTCCTAGAGAGGAGCAGATCCAGAATTTTTCGAACGGGAATGGGAGGGGGAGGGAGACACTAGTTTCAGAATCGGTAGGTGTAGTAAAACACATAATATTGATTTGCATTGAAATTTTTAAAATTTAGTGGCAAAACAGATCCTTACTGGATCCACCCCTACTAGATAGGCCTACACCACTGGTATGGCCCTCAGATATTAGTAGATAATAAATATTCTATCTAATGTGGCCTAAGAAAGAAATGATTAAAAGTAGTGCTCTATAATCACAACTATTCTTGTCGAGTCCTAGTTCATTTAGAACCTACCTTGCACTCACCACAAAGCAAGTTTAACTCATATTGGTTGGCGTTTGAAATATACATTCAAGTTCAAATATTTGATTATGGATATATACATCCCGGAAATACACTATAATACACCAAATTATGGAGTTTTCTGTAAGAATACATCATATTGACCATATCTGCCATTCCGAGTTCACGTGGTTCTTTTGGCATTTTTGGTCCACACAGGTGTTAGGTCAAGAATATTTAATGAAATGGCCGCAAGCATGTTGAAGCAAGTACCATTCGTGTGAACATGAACAATTCATGTTTTTGTCAATTTTAAGAGTACAACTACATGAAAATACATACCTTTAAAACACATTAAAAATCTTGTCGAAAAAAAAAAACTCAGCGTCCGACCGAGTGTACACCATGCGATGCACGTTACATGGAAACTGACTCGTATTATTGGCTAACGGAACTTAAAATCACTAAATATAGCTAGTTACACGTTTTGTTTTAATACTTAGGCCTACCTTAGTAGTTTTGTTGATACGTACGAATATACTTTAGACCTATAGTGATAAACAAAATATGGTGTTTTTATTGCGAAAATACACCTTGTCCACCATTTCCGTCGTCACGTCAATTCATGTCACGCGGTTCTCTGGAATTTCAAAATTCACGCTCTGTTACACAGGTGGTAATTATTCAGGATATTAGGTGAAAATGGCCACAGGAACACTGAGGACTGAGGTTGAATTGGAATATCAAGATAATACTGTATCATCTTATGAATCAAAACGTATAAATACAGATTGGAAACAGTGGAAAGTTTCCACTTGCGCGTGCAAGTATAATAAAAGTAGGCCTATTATACGAAACAAAATTGTATTAAAAAACTTCAATAAAATGTTAAAATGATAAAATACCGGTAGGTAAAAGATGTATTACTGTAATTTAAAAAATTAGTAAAAGTCTCCTAAATAAAAAAAACACTGTTTAATTAATATACTTTGATATTTTTTATACTATAACTTTAGTTCTTATGAGGAATCCCCTTCGGTACCAAATTTTCCGAAATAGGAGTATCCTCGGGGATGGGATTAATCTGATCCACTAATTAAACCAGAAAAACGGGTGGGGAGAGGGGTATTAACAATTAACGACTATGTAATATGGTACCATTTCTTAGTAATCCAAACGCATAATTCATGGGTATGCAGTTTAATATTATTTTCGTTAGGCCTGTCATTATTCCGGGGCCATATCCCAGAATCATCGGTCCTTCACCATTTGGAAATCCCGGATGTAAGATAGACGGATTTAGACCGCAGATAGGCCTATGAGTGGTCAGTTTTTTTGTTTTTTAGTTTTTTTTTTGTTTTTTTTTTTTATCAAAATCGTATTATCTGAATGCCATATCGTGATTGATAGCTTTTTTTTTTTAAACTGAAACAAATATCGATTTTATTTTTTTTAAATTATTATTTTAACAAAAAGCATTTTTGTTTCATGTTGATATGAAGGTGATGTCTCAAAGGGTATCAGGACTTACTTTAAGGCCAAACAAATAAACCAATAGTTTTATTTATAAAATAGGCCTATGTGCTGTTTTTGTTTGTTTGTTTGTTTGTTTTTTTTTGTGGTGTCACAACATTAACATAGCGTGTCATGATACTTATCAAATGATCGATAATGCTAATAGATTTCTAAGATATATATTATAAATAAATTTAACTTTTTAGTATCGTGCTAGATTCCAGATACCATCTTAGGGTAAAATAGTGTATAATTTGCCACTTTTTAGCGAGATAAACTTCGACATACTAATACTCCAAAATACAAAATATATATAGTATAATTCAAATAGAATCTTTTCAGTGGCGGTGCCAGGCGTCTGAAATCTGGAAGGGGTGGGGGGAGTGAGGGACAGGTACCGTATGATTTTGTGGGGGAGGGGGAGGTCCCGGACGAGAGCAAAGTCGGCGTGGTCCTGTATCGATTAAATGTTTTAAAAGTGGTTCAGGGCTTTCAATGGCTTATTTAATCGACTTTATATATAGATACTCTACTAATATGTAGAAAATACATTTTTTTTTTCTCCCCGACGAATTTTGGTTTTTCTTCTGTTTTTTGGGTCGGAGCCGGGGAAACTGGAGGAGGAGGAAAAATTTTTTTTATGCGTTCAGTTTTTGAGAACGTATTAGACAGATAAAAGGTTGTTAGCTTTCTTTTCGTATTTATATAATAAAACACTTATAGTACTAAATTTAGCCAAGTCATAAAAATATGTTTTTTCGTAGTTTTTTGCGTCAAAAAATTAACGTAATGTGTTATCATTCACATCATTCGATAAATAATTTTAATAGCAAAAATATTCAAATTGAATCTTCCAGTGACGAAGTAGCTTTAAAATACTATTTTTTGGGTAAAATAGGCCTACGTACAATTTGTAATTTTTTGATCAAATTGCCACTTAAATTGGAAATGTTGCGTGTGAGCCCGTTCCTTGTGAGCTAAGAGCTGGTGATGAGGATTCACGTTGTTGCCAGCTTGTAACAAATGATGCCCACGAAAACATAGGCTATATTTTTGAGCAATTTTAATTCGTTGGGACCCGTCTATAAATAGCTGTAGTCAAGTGAGTGAACTCCTCTTAGTCAATATGAGAATTACATATAAATGTGAGGACATTAGGCCTATATAATCAGCTGTAGTCATGTTGTCCTCTGTACAATAAATATGGTACACTGGGGATGATATAAACGTGAGGACATTAATCAGCTGTACTCAAGTTAAAGAAAATAATGCCCTCAGTTCAGTCCTCTATTGTCAATATACTGTATAGGCTAGTAGCCTGGGGATTGTATATAAACGTAAGGACATAATCATCTGTAGGAAATTGAAAGGAAATAATGGCCTTGGTTCCCCTATACACAAAACTATACGAATTATGATAAACTGGCCAGAGATTATAATAAAAGTGTGGTCATTAAGGAAATCACGGTCCCTGTTAGTCCTCTATACAGTCATTATGGTACATTGAGGATCTCAATAGGCAGGCTAAATAAGTAGCCTACGATCAACTTTTTGCATGTACTACAGAACTTCCAAACTTCCGCATCAGGATCTAGGATTTAGCAATAGGGGTGGATAATGGGAGATAAAGGACCGTCCCCTCCCATGTGATTTTTTTTTTTTTGAAATGAGTAGACTGCTAGACGATCTTAGATCCTCTGGCATCTCAAAAGAAGTAAGCTTAGAATAGAAAGTGTATGTTTACCAGAGACATGAGAAGCAGACACACAAGACGATCGGTGACCATTATTTTTTTCACAGTAAACGGAGGGGGGGTGGAAAGCCACCCTATTCACCCCTCTAGATCCGCCACTGCTTTAAGTGGCATTTATTAACCTGCAGAGGACTCTTGTGATCTGTAGGTGTCATGGAATACGAAACAGCTGGACAATGGTGGAGTTAGTCATGGTTTCTATCAAAATTGGCCAATTTTTAACCTGATCGTTTTTCCCAGATTCGGCCACATATGGGCCTAATTCCGGATATCACCCGATTCATCGTTATTTAAGTTTAAACTAGGCATTAAGTGGCATTTATCAACCTGCAGAGGACTCTCGTGATCTGTAGGTGTCATGGAATACGAAACAACTGGAAAAAGGCGGGGTAAAAAAAAATCGTCAAAAAAGTATGAGTTATAATAGCTCATGGTTTTTACCAAAATTGGCCAATTTTTAAGCTGGTCGTCTTATCCCAGATTGGGCCACATGAGCCTAACTGAGTATCATCATCGTTATTTAAGATTAAAACTAGGTTTTAAGTGGCATTTATCAACCTGCAGAGGACTCATATTGTGATCTGTAGGTGTTATTGAATACGAAACAACTGGAAAATGGCGGATCTAAGATTTACCAATGGGGGTGGATAATGGGAGGTGAGAAGAACCGAGCGGGGGGGGGGGGAGTGGTTTTGTAAATTTTTCAAAATAAAAGACAGCGGAAAAATGAAAATTTGACTCAAGTTTGGAGACTAAGAGTGCCATTTCCGGCCTCGCTAGAGGTGCCATAATCATAAAAGTTCCCCCAACTGAGGTAGTATAGACCCTCCGCCTCTGAAAGTCCCTCTCCGGGGCCCCTCTACTTCAAATTCCTGGATTTGCCACTGGAGAAGCAAACACACATGACGAGTGGTCATTTTTTTTCACGGTAAACGAAGGGGGGTCAGCCACCATATACACCCCTAGATCCACGACTGCGCATTTGATCGCCCAAAACGCATCAGAGGTTATTTTTGGGCGTCTAGAAAACGACGCTTTTAAGGGGGCATGTCCCAGGACCCCTACGGTAGTGTTGTCTCGATCAGCCCCAGTTTCGGCTGCCAACCCCCATTTTTTGGACATCTCTGGATCCGCCCCAGAAACGACAGTGTAAAAACAAACAGCGTGCGTTTGTAGGACCATTTTACATCTCCCCACGCGCGTATTCCTGGACTGTTTTGATTGATGAGTTGTCTATTTATTTTAATAAAAATGGCAAATATTCAACCACTTGCCATCTTTAGTTCTCTTGGCATCAGGCGCGACTGTCGAACTTTAAACTTTAAAGATGTATTGACCCATGCTAAATGCCAAAAAAATAAAAATAATATTTTTTTAAATTAACTTGCCGATTTTGAAGTAACTTAAAAGTTATCAACTTGAACATAGAAATTAGTGTATTTAAAAAACGTCTACCCATCAGTTTACAGCGAAAAATGATATAAACACTTCCAGTCACTGGAAATGTTTTATTATTTTTATTATAATTTTTTGGTTTAAAAAATCAGGGTACACATTTGTTAAATTAAATAATGTTTATGCACAAGTTAATAATTTGTATGCTATGGTCCTAATTCAGTATCTGTCTCTTATACACATCTAGATGTGTATAAGAGACAGGAATTACATATAAATGTGAGGACATTATATAATCAGCTGTAGTCACCTCTGTACAATAAATATGGTACACTGGGGATTATATAAACGTGAGGACATTAATCATTGTACTCAAGTGAAATGAAATAATGCCCTCAGTTCAGTCCTCTGTTGTCAATATAGGCTAGTACTCTGGGGATTGTATATAAACGTGTGGACATAATCATCTGTAGGCAATTGAAAGGAAATAATGACCTCGGTTCCCGTATACGCAAAACTATAAATTATGATAAACTAGCGCGGGATTATAATAAAAGTGTGGTCATTAAGGAAATCACTGTCCCTGTTAGTCCTACAGTCATTATGGTACATTGAGGATCTCAATAGGCAGGCTAAATAAGTAGCCTACGATCAACTTTTTGCATGTACTACAGAACTTCCAAACTTCCACATCAGGATCTAGGATTTAGCAATAGGGGTGTATAATGGGAGATAAAGGACCGTCCCCTCCTCCTTTTTTTTTTTTTTTTTTTTTTTTTCCTCCTTTTTTTTTTTTTTTTTTTTTTTTTGGAATTAGTAGACTGCTAGACGATCTTAGATTCTCTGGCATCTCAAAAGAAGTAAGCTTAGAATAGAAAGTGTATGTTTACCAGAGACATGAGAAGCAGACACACAAGACGATCGGTAACCATTATTTTTTTTCACAGTAAACGGAGGGGGTGGGGTGGAAAGCCACCCTATTCACCCCTCTAGATCCGCCACTGCTTTAAGTTGCATTTATCAACCTGCAGAGGACTCTTGTGATCTGTAGGTGTCATGGAATACGAAACAGCTGGACAATGGTGGGGATAGCTCATGGTTTCTATCAAAATTGGCCAATTTTTAACCTGATCTTTTTTCCCAGATTCGGCCACATATGGGCCTAATTCCGGATATCACCCGATTCATCGTTATTTAAGTTTAAACTAGGCATTAAGTGGCATTTATCAACCTGCAGAGGACTCTCGTGATCTGTAGGTGTCATGGAATCCGAAACAACTGGAAAACGGCGGGGTAAAAAAAAATCGTCAAAAAAAGTATGAGTTGTCTATTTATTTTAATAAAAATTGCAAATATTCAACCACTTGCCATCTTTAGTTCTCTTGGCATCAGGCGCGACTGTCGAACTTTAAACTTTAAAGATGTATTGACCCATGCTAAATGCCAAAAAATAAAAATAATATTTTTTTTAATTAACTTGCCCATTTTGAAGTAACTTAAAAGTTATCAACTTGAACATAGAAATTAGTGTGTTTAAAAAATATCTACCCATCATTTTACAGCGAAAAATGATATAAACACTTCCAGTCACTGGAAATGTTTTATTATTTTTATTATAATTTTTTGGTTTAAAAAATCAGGGTACACATTTGTTAAATTAAATAATGTTTATGCACAAGTTAATAATTTGTATGCTATTGCAATATGAGCCAGTTTATTTCAAAATTATTTTTTATGACTTTTTGACATTAGCAAGGGACAATACATCTATAACATTTTTTACGCCGCGGGTTCATGAAAGTCAAACATGGAGTCTGAAATTGGTAGATATTTTAAAGACCTTTCAACAGAAAAGAACATCGAAATGAGTGCATACTATTGTCTAATATTTTCATATTAACTTCGTGTAGGTAAATAAGGTTCTTTATAGGTCTGTTGCGCTATTTATATTGGTGGTTTTGTATTATTTTTTGTACCCCATTGATTGAAGTAGCCGGCGAAAACATCGTAGTAGCCGATCGAATGCGCCGGCCGCAGGCTCCTAAATAAACCCCTGAATTCACGATACCAAATTTGCAAACAGCTCACCACCGACAACACTATTAACATTCACCTTCTAACATACACTTACCACCTCTCACTTGCAATGCTTCTAATGTCATCTACCTAAATGGTGTACCCAGTGTAAGGATATTATATACGTCAGGGAAACCAGTTGCAAATTCTGCCATAAAATAAAATCCACCTTTGATTTCGTATCATTAACGATCTATCGCAGTCACTGCTGTAAATGGGCTTATTCGACTGGTTCATTTCGTTGAGTACGAATTTTCGTTGAGTATTATTTTCATTCGACTGGTTCGTTAAATACGGTAGACTTCGTTGACAACGAAAATCAACGTAAACCGGAGTGCGTTAATCAGCGTTACCAAAAAAAAAAAAAACCTGGCCGATTGCTGAGTTTATAAACAACATTTGCGTTAATATAACTTAGATTAAATTTCATAAAATAAAAATTATGATATTTACCCACATGGAGTCAAAAAATAATTGTAGGCTAACAGAATTCAAAAACTGGAATTAATTTTTTTTTACGAGAAACGCATACTACCATTCTATTCGACTGGTCGTCTTCGTTAAGTAGGATTTTACCACTGTTCATGTGGGCGTGGTTTAACAAAGAACGACCAGTCGAATACGGCCATTTTTATTCATGTGACTTTTTAGTTAAGGTCAATCAAATACAGTTCTTAAAATTCTCTTTTTTATTTAGCTTTAAACAATTAAGCACTTCATCTATAACTTCGTCTACAACAACAACGTCTGCTAAATACATGTGTTTGCACTTGGCTTAATGATGTACCCGTTTTGCATATAATAAAATATATTATAACATATAATTTCTATAGAATTACCATTTGAATAAATTTGATCCAAACTTTGGCAAACATACCTATCGAATTTATTTATTATCACATTCTCGCGTAAGTAATTGATGATTGATTGAATTACAGGAGCAACAACAGAAATATTGAGGGTATAATAATTATGTATATTTACTCATACATAGGCCTATACACTTTTGTATGTACATTTCACCAATATGTATATGTACATATTCTATCTATAGTAGGATTCACATATAGATACATTAGTTGACACTCGCTTTCTAATCCAAGATCGCTAGGCTCAATCCTAACTAGATGCAAATATTTTTTCCACTACATAATAAAACTTCAATATCAAAGTCTTGCTAGATGGTGTAAAAACATATGATGCAAATATTCTTTCCACTACATAATAAAACTTCAATATCAAAGTCTTGCTAGATGGTGTACAAACATATCTTCGCACAATAACAATAATAATAATAATAATAATAATAATAATAATAATGATAATAATAATATACTATTATTCGCGCGAGTCAAAAGCGTCGGTTCGCTTCCTGAGCTCTGATTTCGATTCGCGCGAATAAATTCGCCTTGTGGAAAACTGGTTTATGCATAATCATTTAATAAAAACAAGAACGTGCACTCCACAGATGTGTATAAGAGACAGGTATTACTATTTAGTTTCTTATCTTGTTACTCGTACTGTCTGAGACTACTATAATTGCCCCAAGTGCAACACTCGTCAGAAAAGAATTCCTTAATGAATAATATAGACTAACATGGATTAATTAAGTCTAATCAAACCTATTGTTGAATCGGTTTCTAGTTAAAACAAAATTAAACCAAACGGCAATAAATCAATACGACAATGACAAGTACCAAAACGGCAATAGATCCAATGGCCAAAACGGCAAAATCTATTTTTATTTTAATCCGCTCTGGTTTATATACCATTGAGCATTCTGCTGATGATATTTGTAAAACGTTCAACTGTTTTATTAATTCTTTGTTATATTCGCATAAATATATATATGTCTAATGGAATATTATTCAACGGCTTTTTTTGCGTAGTCTTTGCACGAGATAACTTTCCCACCTTGTTCATGAAAGAGATATTGATGTGTGTAATACAAGACCGATATGCACGCAATAATATATTGAATATAGATCGTATCGAAAATATTCTTTCCTTTTAGTTCAAACAGAATACTTAATGGTCTGCATATGAAACGGATCTTATAAAATACATTAAAATGTAAACAAGAATTTCGTAGCTTGGCAAAAATATTAAGATTTATATTAGTGCTGTGCTTGTATAGCGCTGACCGCTAGAGCATCTATGCACTTTCCAGAAAATAATGGAGAGAAAAAGTGAAAGGGGAGATTTAAAAGCAATTGCCAGCGAAGTCATCAAAATAAAAAAGACGACAAAAATATATGTCCATAATGTGCTAATTCCACAGACTGGTACAGAGTTTCTGGATTTTTACATTATTTCAAAGTGGTGTTGGTGTTAAAGTTCAAAATTCCTCCTCTTGTCGTAGAATGTCTTCAACAAAGTCGGTTTCATCTATTCGCGACGGTTGTCCAGGTGATCTGTGAAACAGATAGTAAACGTATTTTGTAAACTATCAGTAGAAAATTGTGAGAATCAGTAGCTTTATCATAAGCTTAAGCATCTGCAAAGACAACAGATGTCCAGGGATCGAATTCCAATCCGGGCTACTTTTTTCACACTCGCAGATTATTCAACATCTATATACTGTATAACTATATCGTTCCGCAAGACAGTTGAGAGTGTATATTTATAGGCCTATTCCAACATGACTTATTTGTAAAAAGTGTATTTTCGGAGATCCCGTCTTGTCGTTCAAAAGCTTAAAATGAAGGCCTCAAACGTATATATACTAAGCATAAGCAAAAGAGTGTGAGTTGCTTAAAATCCGATTCGAATTCTCAAGGAAATGTGATGTGAAGATCTGTTATATTTATTATACATAAGTTTATTACAGTTTTATCATACGTACGTGGAGTCTCCATTTCCATTTGTTTTCAATGAGGTCCAAACGTTTGGGTCGTGGTACAAATCTCCAATTGTGTTAAAAAACATATGCTGCCCTTTGACATTTGTGCCTCTACAAAATAAATTAAATGTTTTGATTTACTGGAATGTTTTTTTTTTCTTATTAATTGTTTAGGCCAAATAGCCAAACAGCGAACTTAATCACTTTTCTATGTGAAATATCCCTTCATGTGACAAATATATACACAGGATGGTCTATACTAAGTCTCAAGGGGCTTAGGGAGTGAAGTTGTTTTGGTCGTGAGTAAAAGTCCTGTTGACGAGCCAGGGATTGAACCGCCTCTGGTACCGGAAGGCAAGCATGTTAAGCACTAAGCTGTTCCACCACTTCAATTTTCAATGGGAAATGAATACACAAAAATATTACAATTGTTCTGTAAGTTATCTAGTACAATCAATATACCAAATATATTAAATATTTATTTTTATCAATATAAAATACAATTTAAAAAAGTGAAAAATGATGGAGGAGATAAAACGAGTAGAATAATGTGTCAGGAATCACCTATTCAAATAATTATGTAAAGGCTGTTGTCCACTAGGCGAATTTATTCGCGCGAGTCAAAAGCGTCGGTTCGCTTCCTGAGCTCTGATTTCGATTCGCGCGAATAAATTCGCCTTGTGGAAAACTGGTTTATGCATAATCATTTAATAAAAACAAGAACGTGCACTCCACTTACAATGTTGCTCTCTTTCCACTTGCCACAAGTGAATCAAATCGGTCGCTGTTTCGTAGTAAACTACCCATTTTATTCCATATCATTTGTTGGGCATCCGGTCGTTTAACACTACGGAACAAAATACTATTATTCAAAAAATAACAAAAACAATTTATATTTTGTTTTTCTAACCCATCTGTCTATTATTTATTACCGTAAATGATCCAATATGCGCCGCTCTCGAATAAACGCCGCGGCGCTTAATCGAGAGAATATAATTATTACCATGTGTGTAATGAAACACTTTGAGAAACAGGGTTTTACATACAATGCATACAGTATTAAAATGAATCAATAACACAATGAAGACACAAGCATTTCTTTATAAACGTTCATTTACGATGGATGGTAGGACCTATGATAGGCCTACCGAACTACAGGAATACTGTAGGTGAAATTGGTAACATGAGAACGGGCATGGGAACAGCCACGCCAATATTTTTTTTATAATAAGCGCCGCACTGAAGCCTCCAAAAATTGTATAAGAGCCGCGGCGCTTATTCGAGCATTTACGGTACTTAATGTAAAAGTCCTTTAGGCCTAAATGCTTGTAATTGGCTTTTACGAAAACTATGTTGATAATTTGCAAATTGGTTTTACCGAGCAGGAGTAGCATTAGTAAGATGATATGAGAATTGAATGTCATATTAATTATAGGCCTACTTTGATTTGGTTTTAGCGAATAAATTATTGTTTAGTGTGATAAACTCTAATTATATTGTTTAATGTCTTTCACTTATGTGTAGGCCTACGCTGTGAGTTAAATCGGATAGAAAACAATATTATTATATCATCGTTATATATTATTATAATTCACTCTTTTTATTATGTATTATTCTATTATCATCTACATTTATCATTGTTGTTAATAATAATAATGATTATTATTGTGTTATCGTCACGTTTTCGTGTTTTCAATTTTTTTTTTTTTTTGTGTGTTTTTTTTTTTTTGGTTTAAAATTCGGGTGTGAATTTGAGGGTCATTTAAAATCCTACGGTCCCAGACCTAAATATCTCTAAAAATAATCGAAGGCTCTAAATGATACTAGCCAGAATAGTTTGTCATTTTTTGATGAAGAAATGTTTAAATTTTGGTGACCATCCGGAATAGGGTGAGGATATGAGGACCATTCAAAGGAAACGTCCCCTACCAGATATTTCAAAAAAACTAATCAACAGATCTGAATGAAACTTTCGTGAAAGTTTAACCAAGACAAGGAAGAAATTATGAAGTGTTGGTGACGATCCAAATTCAGCTGTGCATTTAAGGGCCTTTGGTCCCAGACCTGAATATCTCTAAGAACATATCTCCAAGAACATATACTAAACGTGGAAAAACCCGCTTAGTACTTTTAAGGCACTCTTTGAAATGAAAAGTGTTTGGGCGAGTTACTGTGCATTATTTCAAGAGGAGGTGGAGCGATGTGTGGTGGTGGGGTGGTAGTGGTGGTGGTGGTTGAAAATTAGGAACATATTCTGGGAGATTTATTTAATAGAAAAGGATTTGATAGATATGCTCTCTACTGAGTGTTATTATTATTATTATTATTATTATTAACAGTTTGGTTATTGTATTATTATTATTATTATTATTATTATTATTATTATTATTATTACTTACAGTGGTGCTCTCTTGCCGGTTGCCGCTAGTGAACTTAGTTTGTCGTTACCTTGCATGGCATCACCTACCATCGTCCATAATTGGTGCTGCGAATCTACCCGCTTAGTACTTCAACATTTGAAAGAAACAAA